TGGGACACATACAGCTGTGCGAGGGACGGGCACAAGGCGTCCAAAACCACAGGAAGAGGGCACCGGCCCCTGGGCCCTGGGCCCGGCACGCAGGCCCGCGAGCTGTGTCAATGGGGGATTCAGTGGGCTCAACCAGCCGGTACAGGCTGTCCAGGGCCCTGGCGACCGTAGAATAGAGTCCTGTTCCCCAGCTGGCGGGGCCAGCTCACCCAGGCTGTGAGGGCACTCAGGTGACCAGGACACGGGCCCCAGGTATTCACAAGTGGGGTCAGAGACACTGACTCTCGGGGTCCCGGGGTGAACAGGGAGCCTGGGACAAAGTGGGGGGGGCTCACACAAATCTCCAGAAGGGGTGGAGCTAGTGAGGGAGGCAGAGACCCCCATCCAGTCGGTGAGTGGGTTCCAGCCAGGAGATGATGGGTGGGTGCCACCAGACCTTCAGGGAAATGGGGTTCACCTGGACACCCCAAGGAGTGGTGTGCACAGTCCTGAAAGCCCAGGTCTCAGAACACGGGCACCGCCCCAAAGGGCCAGAGCACAGTGTCACAGTCGAGTGGGGAGCAGGTACCGATGCTCCGACCATGGGGTGCAGCCCCTCCCAAAGAGGGGGCACAGTTCCTGTGTGGTCAGATAATGGGGTAACCTCCCTGGATGCTCGGGTGATGGGCAAATTCTTCCCTGGTGCTTGGAAGATGGGGTTCAGGTGACCTGGGATGTTGGAATGTTGGGGTGCAGCCTCCCAGGTGAGCAGAGCATGGACAATCTGAGTCAGAGGTGACTGGGGCACACAGTGGTCTCAGGGTACAGAGGACAGGGCCCGCTGAGCACCCCCAGGCCATCCTGGGCTCCAGGGGAAGGGGCACCCGGGCAGTCGGGGTGCACAGCGGGTCAGCACAGGCGGAGAGCGCGCGTGCTGAGCTAGCACGTCCCACACATCTGTGCCAGCAGCTCCCGGCTCCCCGGCCAGTGTCTGCCTTGTGTTCCAACCTCAAACATTCCCCAGGCGCCCTCAAAGGAAGAGCCCCCGTCCAGGAGCCCCGCCAGGGTCTCCACGGGGCTGCTGGCTGCCAAGCCGCCGTCTCGGGGGCCGAGGGGCTGGCCGCGGGGTGGTCGCAGGCTGCCAGCTCTGTTTGGTTTTCTCCTTCCTGCCCAGGAACCTCAGACGCCGTCTCGCCACGGAGGCGCCCTCATCCTGGGGAGGCACAAAGCCCTACACAGCCAGCCTGGGGAGCGGCTCGGGGGGCTCCAGTCTGCTGTGCTCGGGGCCCTCGCGTCCCCCACAGCACAGGCGCCTGCTGGCCGAGGTGCCCTGTGGCCTGCCCTGAGGTGGGCGCCTCCTGGGTCAGCTTCTTCCAAGCCCCCTCACCCCCTCACCCCATCTAGGTCAGCGTGGAGGACGGGGACGGACGCCCACGTGGCAGGACCCAGTGTGGAGCCACACAGGCACGACTCACGGCCCCCACAGCCCAAGCGCTCTGGGCCCGGGCCCTGCCGGTGCAGCAGGTTCTGGGTTAAGCATTAACCAGCCACGTCTCACTGCCAGCAGCAGACAAGGGGTGGGTGAGACACCTGGCCTGGGACCTGGAGGGACTGGACCAGGTCAGCTGGCCACAGCACAGTGGGGGTCTCGGATGGGCAGGCCCAACTGAAGCGGCACCATCGGGGTCAGACTGCAGGGAGGGCTTCGGTCCACCGGCTCTCCGGCCATCCAGATGAGGGCTGCTCGTTGGGAAACCCAGAGCTCCAGGGACCAGGGCAGAGCCCAGACAGGATGGCCTCCACCAAGCTCCCTGGTCCCGGAAGCTGGGTGGCCGCAGGACCAAGCAGGCCCACGTGACCCTGTGAGAGCTCCACCCGGCATGGCTCAGGGCGGCCCCAACCCCAGGGCCTGCAGACCCCTGCCCAGCTCCCACCCTCCTCACCCTTGGTGTGGGGCAGCCAGCAGTGCCCATGACTCAGCAGCCCCTTGGAGGGCCAAGCCTGCACAGGCCAGTCTGCCCCCTCCCAGGGTCAGCCCGCTGGGCCCATCACTCGGCTCGAAAAGCCCGTGGGGCTCAGGACCCCTCCAGCCCTGAGGGACCCCTGGAAATAGGCTGGGCCCAGACACTCAGCCCAGGCTTTGGGGGGGGGCCTTCCTCCCCGGAGAGTATTCTGGCTCCTGAGGGCCAGCAGTTCCGGCCACGAGGTGGGGCTCCCCGAAGCCCGGCCTCCCACACCCTTTCCTCCCACTGAGCTTTCCTGGTCACTAGAGGCAGAGGGAGCACTGGGCTCCGGCCACAGGCTGCAATTGGGCCTGGCCTCTTGGTGTCCAGGGTCTGAGAGGAAGGCCTGAGGCCGGCTAGCCAAGGAAGTGTTGGGCATCAGGTGAGAGCCGCACACGTGGGGTCCCCCAGCAGATTGTGGGGAGATCTGGCACACAGAGGGCGTCCACGTCTCAGTTGACTGGTGGTGGAGGACAGTGGTCAGCAGTAAGTGCCGGGCCTGGGCTGGCAGAGTGGGCAGGAGGCACCCAGCCACTGCACTGACCCCAGCGAGGGATCCAGCCAAAGCCGGCAGCCTGGAAGGCTCCCTGGAGGAGGTGGGGCCGATGCAGGCCTTGAAGGGCTCACGGGTGGGATGGGGCGGAGACTGTGGGAATGAGCTGGAGCCCTCCCAGATGGGCAGCCAGGGCTGGGTGCACACGGGGGCAGGGAGGGGGCCGGACACCTGTTTCCCTTTCCTGGTCAAACTGCCCTGACCCCTAGAGAGGCTTTTCCTCTTAGGGCCACAGAAGACAGACCACTGATTTTAGGCAGCAGGACGAGAGGCCTGCCCTCCCTTCCCAGGGGGGACGCTGTCCCAGGCTGTCCCAGCAAGAATGGCTCAGTCCCAGGCTCTGAGGCTGTGTGCCTCTCTGGCCTGTCTGGCCTGCCCTGGGCTCCTGGGTGCTTTCCCCTGGATGCCCAGTCTGGAGGCTGGAGGCTGCCCAGTGATGGGGACCAGTGGGGTGGACGGCGCCACCTGGTGGCTGTGTGCCCGCCGGAACCTGTACCACCGTTGGGACCCAGAGGTCCTGTGGGACCCTGCAGGGTTTGCGATTCTCCCGGCCCAGCAACTGGTGTCCCCAGGGTCCCAAGACCCTCCATGTTCAGCCTCCAGGCAACCCCTGTGGTCCCCTGTGGACTGGCTTTGCAAGGCCGGCCCAGGAATCCTGCTGGACCGGCAACACCAATTCACGGTTCAGGCCCCATCCCCGCCCTCTGCCCCCAGCCCTGCTTAGACTCAGGGCGGTAGGACCCCCAGCCAAGCTGGGCTAGAGGAGGCCTCAGGAGTCGGCTCCAGTCACCGAATGCATGCGTTCTCTGGCTTCTCAAAGGGCAAAGAGGCTTTGAGTTCCACACAGGGAGCAGGAGGCTGTTTGAACCTGGCCTGGCCTCCTACTTCAGGACCCCCTGAGGCTCCTGCCACCTCCTTCCATCCACAGCCACTAGGGGTGCTCTGCTAGCCACAGGTGGGCAAGAGGAGAGCAGTGGCTGGAGCCTCAGTGCAGACTGTCTGGGCGGAGGGGCCCCGACCAAATTAGGGACTGGGGTCCATAACCAAATTATGGCCAGATATGGAATTTACAGGGCCCCACATGGAATGAAAACGTGCAACCTCTTATTCAGAAAATCAGGAATCTCAGGAGGAAGGACAGACAGGCCAGCATGGAGCACCTCTCAGTGTGTGTGTGTGTGGGGGGGGTCTGGGCTGCAGGTTGTAGCCCTAGAAGCCTCCCCACCTTCACGTCCCCCAGGCCCTGCTCTGAGGCAGTGTGGGCTCCAGCCTGGGTCCACTCTCCTGAAAGCTTTTCGGGGTCAACCTGTGTGCAGCCTCTGGTCACCGAGGGGGGGTGTTCTGGGACCAGAGCTCCTCAGCCCATTGGCCGAGAGACACTTTTGCTATGGGGGGGTCACCCCTGGGATCATGGTGTGTAGGTAGGGGACAGGTTCAGACGTGAAAGGGTCCAACGACTGGTTAGTTCTGGGACGCTAGCCCCTGAGGTCTGTGGGCTCCTGTGCGCGGGTTGGAATCAGGCTTCAAGGACTGGAATCCAGACTCTGGCTGGCTGCTGCCCCTGGGATGGGGAAGAGCTGAGCTAGAGAGGACTCTCCCCAGGGTCAGAGAGGAACCCCAGCCCCCAGCTGGGGACCCTGTCCTCCACTCGTGGGGGCGAGACCACCCTGGCCAGGTGTGCTTCCTCCCCAGCCCCAGGCAGGTGGGGTGCAGTCCCAGGACGGCAGTGCCCCACCCTCCATCCCACCCGCCTGCCCAGGGGTTGGGGCAGGCAGGTAGGCGAGTCTGGGCAGGGCTGCGTCAGAGTGGAGGAATGTTCTGGCGCTCCCAGCTACGCCCTGCCCCTGCCTGCCCCCACCTCGCCCTCATCCCCAGGCACTGCTGGCCTGGCGCCCGCCTGACAAATGCACCTTAAGCCCAGGCCTGCTCCAACGAGCCCCTGCCAGTGCAGCCCTGCTCCGAGGACCCCCAGCTCACTCCCATGACTCCCACAGAGTTCTAGGTCCACGGTCCCGAGCAGCCCCTGGTCCTGGGGCCATTGTGATCAGGTCCACCTGTGAACAAGCAAACCCCAGTGGACCCCAGCTGAGGAGGCGGGTGAAACTCCCACCCCATGAAATGAGACCCCAGCAAGAGCTCAGAACCCGGAAAGGGGCAGGGAGGGGGCTTCTTGGAAGGGGGAACTTCCTGCAATGGGGGAGAGGCATCTCATGGGCCAAGGCCAGCTTGGGCAGGGCCTGTTGGCTGGGGCTGGGGAGGGGGCCGTCAGGCCAGGCCTGAGGCGGCCGGCTCAGGCTTTGGCCAAGGCCCAGTGCTCCCCTCCCTTTGGCTTGCTGCACCCAGAATCCTGCCCCTGGCCACCCCAGCCTCCTCCTTGACCAGGCAGCCCCAGCTCTGCCACTGCCTGGCAAATGGGGCGACAGGCCGGAGCCGAGTGGCCACTTCTCCCAGGTGACCTGGCCGCCATGACCATCTCGCAGGGCAGGAGGATGGGGCGCCCACCTGGTCCCTCCAGCCCCCTGGCCCCAGCTGGCACCACAGCTATGCCAGGGCTCGTTCCGGACCTCATCGCTGGGATCCCCTGTGAGTGGTGAACCCCCAGGCAGGGCATGGGATGGCCTGGCTGTGCTGGTCCAAGTTGTCCACAGAGGCATCTCAGTCCCTGCCCCTAGGGCCCCGCTGGGCACTCATCCTTGTGGCCCTGGCTGCCAGTGCCCTGATCGTGTCCTGTCTGCTGTGTGCCTTCTGTTGCTGCCGTCGCCGCCACAAGAAACAGCCCCGAGACAAGGAGGCCGTGGGCCTGGGCAGTGCCCGCAGCAGCACCACCACCCACCTGGTAGGAGCAGGCACCTGTGCCTCCTGGTGCCCACCTCCATGCTGGCTCAGCCCAGAGAGGGCAAGGCCAAATTCCTGGGAGCTCAGGGAAGCACAGGGAGTTAGGGGTGAGCCCCCAGGGACAGTCTGACCCACGCAGAAGCCGGGCAGAGAGGGCCTTCCCGCAAGGCAAGTGGGTGAAAAAGGTGAGGGGAGCGTTGGAAAGCTGGGGCAGATGTTGGCCCACGGGTCACAGGAACCTTGTGGGGGCGGAGCTGAGCTCGGGAGGTGAGCCCATCTGGCAGCCTGGTCTGGAGGTGGGAGGCTTGACCCACATCAGGGAGGAGCCACATTTGGGGAGTGCAGTTCTCTGATGGGGGCATGATCCCCATCACACCAGTGTCCCTGGTCCCTGCCCACCCAGGTGCAGCCAGATGTGGATAGACTGCAAGGCGACCCGGAGGACCCTCGACAGTGGGGTCGCCTGCAGCTCTCCCTGGAGTACGACCTGGGGAGTGAGGAGGTGAGGCCCTGGGCAGGCCTGGAGGCTGTGAGGGAGCAGTGGGGTGCTGGGGAGAGCCTCGGCTGAGCCCACACTGCTGCCTCCCAGGTAAAGGTGGGCCTGAAGCAGGCAGCCGACCTGAGGGCGGGGGGCACGGCAGACCCCTATGCCCGCGTTGGCGTCTCCACTCAGCCCGGGCACGGGCACGAAACGAAGGTGCACCGAGGGACGCTCTGCCCTGTGTTTGAAGAAACCTGCTGCTTCCACGTGAGTCTGGACGGCAGGCGGTGGGCCTGGGCCGGGTGGCAGGCTTGACTCACAGCCCTCTGCAGGTCCCGCAGGCAGAGCTGCCTCGGACCACCCTGCACGTGCGGCTGCTGGACTTCAAGCCCTTCTTGGAGCACCGGCCCCTGGGGGAGCTCCACTTGCCGCTGGGAGCCGTGGACCCGCAGCATGTGCTGGAACGCTGGTACCAGCTGGGCCCGCCGGGTCCCCAGGAGGTGAGGCCCAGGGTGGCAGCAGTGCAGGCAGACTCCCCCAGGCCAGGCCGATCCCCCAGCGGAAGCCTCTGGGTGTCCACAGCCCGAGCAGACCGGGGAGCTGTGCTTCTCGCTGCGGTAYGTCCCCAGCTCCGGCCGCCTGACAGTGGTGGTGCTGGAGGCCCGAGGCCTGAGTCCAGGACTGGCAGGTGAGGGCCACACTTGCCCACTCGGGAGAGGACTAGGGGCCTTGTGCTCGACCCAGTCCTGGGCCCCTTCTCGTCTTCCCAGAGCCCTACGTGAAGGTCCAGCTCATGGTGAACCAGAGGAAGTGGAAGAAGAGAAAGACCTCTGCCAGGAGGGGCACGGCCAGCCCCTACTTCAACGAGGCCTTCACCTTCCTGGTGCCCTTCAGCCAGATCCAGGTGGGCTGTGGGGAGGCCGAGGCAGGGTGGGAAGGCCTTGCGCAGGGCTGACTGACCAGGCCTTCCTCTCCCCGTGCTGCCCGTCTGAGCAGAGTGTGGACCTGGTGCTGGCTGTCTGGGCTCACGGTCTGCGGTTCCGAGCTGAGCCTGTGGGCAAGGTACTGCTCGGCTCCCGGGCCTCCGGCCAGCCTCTGCAGCACTGGGCAGATATGCTGGCCCATGCCCGGCGGCCCATTGCTCAGTGGCACCGTTTGAGGCCTGCCAGGGAAGTGGACAGCATCCTGGCCCTGCGGCCCCGACTGCACCTACCACTGCCCGGYTCCTGACAGCACCCTGAGCTTCAGTCTCCAGCCCACTCCCAGGAACCCCCTGTAATAAACACCCTCTTTCCACCACCTGTGTTCTCGGGGGCCCTGGGGGGACAGGGATGCAGCGGGGGACTCTGTCCTCAGCCGTGGACCTCCCGAGGGTGGAGCAGGCTCTCCTTCCAGATTCCCGAGGCCCTGATCCCTGGGCAGGGGAAGGGTCCTGCGAGAGGCTCGGGTCCAAGCAGGATGCGGTGGGGACCTCACGTCGGGTGGGCTGGCAATAGCATGGGTGGGGGCTGGAGCTGTCCTGCGGGGACTCAGTGTGGAAACTGGGGACGGTGATGACGGGGTCAGCGGAGTGAGGGGATGGGGCACCATCAGGGACAAGCAGTTACGGCCTCCCCTGTGCAGGCAGCAGGGGGCAGTAGACACCTTTGGAAGCTGCTCGGGGGCCCTGGGGGAGCAGCCCTGGCCCAGGATGCACCTCCTAATCCCCACACATCTGGAGGGCTTCAGCGCTCCAAGCCTCCTGCCTCTCATGTCTCTCTGATCCCCGTGGGCTGGGGAGCCTTTGGGGCTGGGCCCAGCGCCCACCACTCAGAGAGGGGCCTTGGCAGGGTTGGGCCCCAGGGGSGGGTGGGGAGAGGCCTGGCCGGGTGAGAAGGGCAACGCGGGCCTGCCCAGGCGGCTGAGGGGCCCCGAGCCCCCACAGGTCAGAGAGAGGTTCCCAGGGCGTCGCTGTGCTGTCCTGGGTGGAGGACGTGTTCTGAGTTGTCTCTCAGAGGCGCCAGCAGGCAGGCAGGGCGCGGGGGCAGGCCGGGGCAGCTCAGCGGCTCAGCCCGGCCCCACCCTTGTCCAGCAACCCTGCAGGAGGAAGGTTCATGCCCAGGGAGAGTAGCACCCCAGTCCTGGTCACTGTTCAGGGCCCAGGGCTGAGGTTGGGGGCCCGGTCTCCCCCAGAAGGGAGGCACCTGGCCAGGTCTGCCTGAACAGCCGGCCCTGGGCTGAAGTGGGGAACAGTCAGCGGGCGGTAGGACCCGAGTGGGGGGCCCCTCAGCAGGCAGCCAGGCAGTCCTGTGGAAGCAGAGCTTGGGGAGTCCAGGAGGGGGTCCGATGTGGACCCAGGCAGACTGGTGCCGTGGGCCCAGCTCGCTGCCGAGGAGGCTCCCTGATGTGGGAGCTGCGGCTTCTCCAGGAGCCACACTCAGAGCCACCCACGCTGTCCTCAGCTCCTTGCTCCTTGTAAGAACCAGGGAGGTATCTCGAACTCGTCACTGAGCCCTAAATAGAGCAGCCCCACCGCACCCTCCCCAAGACTTCTTGGACAGGATGGCAGCACGAGGCCAGCAGCAAGTGCCTGGGCTGGGCCGGGCCAGGCGGCCTGGGCAGGTGGGGAGGCCTCTCTGCTCTCTGTGCCCCCATTGGTCTAAGGAAGTCTCCATGCCCTTTCTGAGCAGGGGCCCAGCCTGGGGGAGGCCATTTATACCCCTCCCCCGGGCCCACCAGCCGACTCTCCACGGCCGGCCTGACCTCGCTCCCAGCCCTGCTGCCCCGATTCTAGGTGAGGCCAGCCTTGCCCACTGAGGCCAGAGGACAAGGCACTACCCAAGTTTGCAGAGGACTTCCCGGGGCAGGGTCTGGGGCTGGGGGTGGTGGGGCAGCTGTCAGCAGCCCTCCCTGGGGAGTTCCGAAGCAGGCGGTGAGAAGCAGACGTTTGGGGAGGTAGCCAGGATGGGGCAGGGGTCTTGGAGAGGCCCCCGATGACCAGACCTCATCGGGGGACACTGGCATGAGCTTACAGGTCAAGAGCCCAGGACCTGAGACCCCAGCCGCATTGGGGCGACTCCTGCATGCACTTGGGTTCAAAGCCAAAGGAGCAGAGTTAAAAATAACAGCACCATGTGGGCAGCCACCTGTGCTGGCCCGTCCCACCCCTCCCTCGGGACAGCTGCAGCTCTCCTCAGGCCCTGCCTGGACATCTGGGAGCCCCGTCTCCTGGCTTCTCACCCTGGGGAGCTACTCCAGGGCCTGGCCCTCTGAGGAGGCTGGATTGGGGCTGGCAGGCGGAAGGGGCCAGCGAGCGAGAGGCTGCTGCCCTCACCACCTGCCTGGCCAGCCTCGTGTGGCCTGGGCCTGACGCCTCGGCCCTGTCTCTCCCCACAGGCTCCGAGCTCAAGACCTCAGGATGGGGGAGTAAGTGGCACCAGGGCAGGRCCCCTGCTGCCCCCCGCCCCCCGCCCTCACATGTCCCCAGCAGCGGCCCCTGCCCAGCCTGGCCCCCAGGAGCCCCTGTGCCCCTCTCCTGCCCACACTCTGCCAGCAGGGCCCTAACCTCTCTCTTTTCTCCCCCTCCCCCTTCCTTTCTCCTGGGACAGTGAGGAGGTGAGTACCCCCTGGGGGGCCTGAAACCTGGAGGGAACAACCCTCCCACTCAGAACAGGTCAGAGGGCAGACCTTGAAGGCCCTGAGGCCCGCAGGAAAGGCCCCGCCCAGGGAGGCACTGAAGAAAGAGAGGAAGTGGCTGCCTGCTGCCCTGGGGCAGGGGAAGTGGGCTGGGCCTGGACACCCAGAATCACTTCTTCTTTCTAATTTCTGTACCCCACACACCTTCCCAGCCTCCCGGGCTTCTGTGCCCTCCCCCCCCCCCCCCAGGCCACACGTTCCTCCTAGCAGAGTGCTACAGCCACAGGCCCAGAGTCCTCGGGAAGGCCCTGGGCTGCGTGGGGGGACAGGGCCTGGGCTCTGGGAGCTGGCCCCAGGTGGGAGGGAATGGGCCCTGGGGCAGAGACCCTGGGGCAGGGCCAGCCCTGGGGGACGCGGCCCCCCCCTCAGAAGCACCAGGCTCAGCCCCATCTGCAGGAGCCATGCCTGGGCCACTCCTGGGGTGGGGGGACTCCAGCCATGGCCTGACTCTGCCCCCTGGGACCCGCTTTGCAGAAGCGCAACAGGGCCATCACGGCCCGGAGACAGCACCTGAAGGTTGGTACTGGCTGCAGGGGGGCCGCCAGGGTGTGCCGTCTCTGCAGCCCCTCACGGCCTGCCCCCACCCCACCCTGCAGAGCGTGATGCTCCAGATCGCGGCCACGGAGCAGGAGAAGGAGAAGGCCCGCCGGGAGACGGAGAAGCAGAACTACCTCTCGGAGCACTGCCCACCACTGCACCTCCCCGGCTCCATGGCCGAAGTGCAGGTCCTGGGCCTCCCGCACCCTGAGCGGGCGTGCGGGGTGGGGAGGGGCGGCCGGGGCCCCGGGTGTGGGGAGGGTGCCCACCTGCTGCCTGCCSCCACCCCAGGAGCTGTGCAAGCAGCTGCACGCCAAGATCGATGCGGCTGAGGAGGAGAAGTACGACATGGAGGTGAAGGTGCAGAAGAGCAGCAAGGAGGTGAGGCCAGCCGGCCACGGGGCGCGGGGCAGGGGGCTCGGGGCAGCGGGCGCGGGGCAGCGGGCGCCTACCCACTGGCTCCCTCCCTGCAGCTGGAGGACATGAACCAGAAGCTGTTCGACCTGAGGGGCAAGTTCAAGAGGCCCCCGCTGCGCAGGGTGCGCATGTCCGCYGACGCCATGCTGAAGGCGCTGCTGGGCTCCAAGCACAAGGTGTGCATGGACCTGAGGGCTAACCTGAAGCAGGTCAAGAAGGAGGACACGGAGAAGGTAAGCCCGGGAGGCCCTGACGGAGGGGACGATGAGGAGGGACGACGCGGGGCTGGTGGGTGGGGGCCTGAGGCCTCTCTGTGCCCCCAGGAGCGGGACCTGCGCGACGTGGGTGACTGGAGGAAGAACATCGAGGAGAAGTCTGGCATGGAGGGCCGGAAGAAGATGTTCGAGACGGAATCCTAGGCCGCCTCCCACCAMCCCACCCCCACCCGAGTGCCCAGCTGGGGAGGCGCCCGACGCCCAGCCCAGCCCCAGGGGCAGCTGGCCTTGGCCTCGTGCCCATGGTCAATAAAGGACRGAAACCCATGCCTGGTCTGGTCTGGTTCTTCCCCACCTGCTCTGGGCCGTAGCACCCGCTGGCAGGGCGCTCAGGTTGCAGCGGATTTGGGCTTGGGGAAAAGGGGGAGCCAGGAGAGCCCCACGGGGAATCTACCCCAGGCTGCTGGGCATGGTTGGCACCAGCCCCAGGATTCCCCAGGCCACTCTGGACACATCCACCATCGTGGAGCCCTGGGGCCCGGCCATGTCTGAGCGGGAGTTCCCAAGGTGAGCTCACCGCTCCTCGGCACTGCCATCCAGAGCCCTGGTGGGATTCAGAGAAACCGACTCCGAGGGACACAGGGCCAGGCAGGGCCACAGCAGGCAGGCCCCTCCCCAGGCTGCCCTCCCATTTAAGACCAGAAGCCGGGAGCCACTTTGGGTCCCTGTCTGCTGTCCCTGTGTTTCCACCAGCATCACTCTGGGGTGGTGTCCATGCCCGGGACCTCCCTGTAGGCTGTGCCTGCCCCCTGACTGGGCACTGGGGCCTGAGTCCTCACCATCTCTGCGCAGGGCTAGACTGGAGGACGTAGGACCTTGGTGCTTGGCTACAAAGTTGAGCTGTGGGCCAGGCCTTCCCAGCCTCTCCCACAGAGGCACACAGGCCCTCCCACAGTGCTTCATGYCCACCAGGCCAGGGCTGGGTCCTTGATCTTGTGCTAGGACTGACAGCAGGACCCACCTGGSCACCCCTGGGCCCAGAGGGCACTTGCCCCTGTTTTCTGTTCCGCCCAGGCCCTGGCTGCAGAACAAGGTCCCCAACAGTCCCTAACAAGAGTTGGTACAGCAGGGCTGGGTGTCAGCCTCCCTGTGCCATGGGCCCCAAAGTCCCCCAGCACAGATCTCCAGTGGGAGCCCAGGGAAGCTGCCCGCCAAGTGCCTGCCCTAGCCCTGCAGAGGTCCTGGGCTGGGTCTGTCGTCCCTGGAGGTAGGAAGGGCAGCTGCAGGTCAGCCTGATGCCCAAGACAGCTTCACTGTGAAGAGCTCCCTCCKGCCTGCCCAGCCCTAGGGTGCCCACTGTACGCCTGTCCAGGACCCCTGAGGCCT